AACCTGTACATGCAAAAGAGACAATAAACTGAATGAAAATAATTAGAATAAATGCATCAAATAGGCAAATTTTTCTGTAAATAGGTTGAGTTCTTAGATTGTTTTTACTAAGACATCTCTTTTAATAATTATGAAAAAAAAATAATAAAAATATTTTTAGCTTGACTGTCAAGGTTACAATAAATATATTATTATGAAATGTGCACATATATCTCTCATTTAGGATTGGCTATGAAATTCAATGGTCTACACATCTCTAGTTAGAATCTATCTTTTGTATGCCAGGGTGATTTTCTAATCCTTTATATGCTTGTTATTTTAATTGACACTAAAATGGCTTACTTTTAAAAAACCTAATTAATTTTCTTAATTTTTTTCTATTGAAAAGTATTGGCCATTGACTGCCGGACCCAGCTCCAGCAAAATGTCGTATCAGGAGTCCCTGGAGGGATGAGGGAATGAGACACAGACTCTTGATCAGGGTGCAAGTATCTCCTTCTGAGGGTCTCAGCAAGTCTTTATTTATGCAGCAAAGCGGGGGCAGGGAGATTACATTAACATAAGCAATGAAGCAAAACAAAGACAATCATTACATATTTTCTCATGGGCATATGGAGACTCCCTTGGTCTCATACCAAAAAGGCACGTATCCTCATCTAAGAAAAACATCAGGGACAATTAGTTTCTTGGTGCAACTCATTTTTCCACATGATCAATCACCTAAGACAGCACAATATTTGGAAACAATTAATCATTCTTTCAAACTCCTTTATACCAGAATGGACGGTGAATGTCTTTATCCTATACTTTGTTGCTTAAAGTAACTCATTTCCCTAGCACACTCAAATAGTCTAGCTAATTTATCAATTACTTCAAGGTGGCCTAAAGTAACTCATCAAACTATTTTATTTCTGCAGAAGTCTAACTCTTAACTAGAAATACCTAACCTTCATACAACCTGTGAACTATTGACCTCTTGCATACACCAGAAATGTACTGCTGCCACAAATATGTACCCCCTGGGTTAGCCATGGCTTTCCAAGCACAGCTGGTTCAGGCAGCTTGTTCTCCATAGTTCTCAGGGCCAAAACATTTCTTTCCTAACTATATCTTCAGCAATTTTTTCTTTCTTTTGTAAAAGTTCATGCGTAAGAACAACAGGGCAATTAACATCTTAATCCGAATTAGGTTTTCACAAGCCAATTTATAACTAACTTATTTTTGCATTAACCAAAAAACAAAACAAACAGAGAAGATTAGTAGTAAGCATTGCTGTGAACTCCTGTGTTCACATCTTCTGGGAAGTGTAGAAACTCCCCTCTTCTTGGGAGTCTCCCCCAATGTCCAGACCTTGTCAAGAGACATCATGGGTAGCCACACACTACAGCAACTGATTAAAATGAACTGTAAACAAGGGAATCAAATTAATGAAACAGACATAACTGTGCAATAAAGAACTTCTGGTTTGGATGTATATAAATATATGATATGTGAACACATGATATATTTGCCTTAATTCTTCATCTTGCAAATATATGTTCTCAAAAGTTCCTAGCCTAGTCTGCATCTCAAGTTAGCTCAACGGATGTAATGAAAAAGATTTCACCATATGAAAGTTGAAATATTGTTATTAGCAAATAAACATCCATTCCAAGTTTGATCCTAGAGCCCGGTGAGCAGGTATAAGGTCAGGGAGAGTACAAAGAGTGGAAGAACGATTATTCTGAGATGACATACAAGCCCAAAGTTACCTACTTGAAATTGTTTATTATTATTTTATTTTTTGCACAGAAGAACTGGGTGTAGGCCAGAGATACAGAGGTAAGGGAATTCACCAGAGACAGAGTGGAAACAGAACAAGCGGATTTACTGAAATACACTGCTAAGGGAGAAGGGGCAAGACAGGAGAGGGCTGCTGTGTCCTTTGAGGGTTAGTTTCCTGACCTGGAAGGGAACTCAGGCCACAGTGGTGAGAGTGTGATAGCACTGATACTTAAGCCTTAGGCCACCAGGGGGACTCTTTGAAATTGTTTAAAAAGCCAATGAATGTAAGCCAGGGGAGGTAGATCTCACCCGAACTTGACAACAGAGAAAAGTCAGCAATAGGACAACCAGAACAGCCTCACAGAAACAGCCTAAAAGCAAGCTTTGACTGGTGGCAATTTTGAGAAAATGTTACCAAACTGATAGGGTTCAGACTCAGAAATCCAGACACTGAACTACAAGATGTTTTCCACACAGGAAGTCCTTGAACATGTGGCACCAGCACAGAAGGAAAGGAAGGTTATATAGAAATGCAGGAATAGGGTGGTGTGAGGGGCATGAGGATGGTTTCTTCTTTTCTCAGCCCTAGAAGGCACCAGGCTATGAGGGGCAGTTGACTCACAGGATGGATTGCTGATGACCTTTCTAATATAGCTGCTCTCTTCTGAGTTCTCAGTATAAAATGGCACCTGGAAGTTCATCAGGCATTGATGCTTCAGCACCTCAGAGGGAACAGAAATATTTATTAAACATTAAGCAGCCCATCACCATGGCCCGAGGAATGTGGTGCTTTAGCTTATGAGGCAGGGATCATGGCATTATCCTTGACTGAGGTTTAACCACAAAAATACCTGTGAGACACAAACAATAAATCTGAAGAAGAAGAAATAAAACAAAACATCCCTTTTATTACTGAAACAAAAAAAAATCAAATACTTGGGAATAAACCTAAAAAAAGAGGTAAAGGACCTATACAAAGAAAACTATAAAACACTGTTAAAAGAAATAGAAGAAGACACAAAGAAATGGAAAGACATCCCCTGCTCATGGATTGGAAGAATTAACATTATCAAAATGGCCATCCTACCAAAAGCGATTTACAGATTCAGTGCTATTCCAATAAAAATTTCAATGACATTCTTTAAAGAAATGGAACAATTATTGATGAAATTCATATGGAATAACCAAAAACTCCAATTGCTAAAGCTCTCCTGAAAAAAAAAAAAAAAAGAAGAGAATGGAGGCATCACACTCCCAGATTTCACATTATACTACAAAGCCATAATCATCAAAACTGATGGTATTGGAACAAGCACAGACACACGGACCAATGGAACTGAATAGAAAATGCAGGAATAAACCCAAAGATTTATGGTCAACTAATCTTTGACAAAGGAGCAAAGACTATGCATTGGAGCAAAGAAAGTTTGTTCAATAAATGGTGCTGGGAAAACTGGGTCTCTACATGCAAAATAATGAAGCTTGACCACTACCTCACATCATACACAAAAACCAACTCAAAATGGATTAAAGAACTAGACATAAGACCTGAAACCATAAAATATATAGAAGGAAATATAGGTGAAACACTAAATGACATGGACCTCAAAGAAACCTTTATAGACACATCACCCAAAGCAGTGATAGTGAAGGCAGAGATAAACAGCTGGGACTACATTAAATTAAAGAGCTTCTGCACAGCAAAAGAGACAATAACCAAAACAAAGAGAAACCCCAATGACTGGGAGAAAATTTTTGCACACAATACTAATGATAAAGGACTGATCCCAAAAAACGACAAAGGGCTGATGAGACTCAACAACAACAAAGAAAATAATCCAGTCAAAAAATGGGCAGAATAGCTAAAAAGAAACTTCTCTGAAGAGGAAATGCAAATGGCCAACAGGCATATGAAAAAATGTTCAACATCACTTGTAATCAGGGAAATGCAAATCAAAACTACAATGAGATACCATCTTACACCAGTGAGAATGGCACATATTAAAAAAACCAGCAACAACAAATGTTGGTGAGGATGTGGAGAAAAAGGAACTCTCCTGCACTGCTGGTGGGAGTGCAAAATGGTCCAACCACTATGGAGAGCTGTGTGGAGATTTCTTGACCTACTAAACATAGAGCTTCCATATGATCCAGCAACTCCACTCCTAGGTATTTATCCAAAGGACACAGAAACATTAATTCAAAAGGGCACCTGCACCGCTATGTTTATAGCAGCAATATTTACAATAGCTAAGCTATGGAAACAACCCAAATGCCCCAAAGTAGATGACTGGATCAAAAAGATGTGGTAAATACACACAATGGAATATTACTCAGCATTCAAAAAAGGTAAACTCTTGCAATTTGCAGCAACATGGATGGCGCTGGAAGGGATCATGCTCAGCGAAATAAGCCAGAAAGAAAAAGAAAAATACCGGATGGTCTCACTCATAGCAGGAATTTAGAAAACCTAAATAAGGGCCCAGGAAAAAGACTAATTGCAATAAAGTAAAAATCAAAATCAACAAGCAACTATAGACCAGAGACACACTACAGTAGGGGGTGGGGGGAAGAGAAGAGGGATTAGGGTCAGAAAATGGTGGTGGGAATTATATGGGGAATATAACCAAAATGAAAATGCATACATTATGCAAAAATGAAAAATGATGTAAGAATTATATAAAATAAAATAATTCATAAAAAACCCATCTGTGAGAAATGCGTGCTTTGCATTTTCCCCTCCTTTTAAGAAGAAACACAAATTCCAGCTTTATTGAAAAGCATTTCATTTTCCTCCCCAAGAAGGGACATTTCAACCTTCCCCCAGTCAAACAGGAATCCCCTCTCATACCCTCCTTGAACACTTGAGGACACTTGGGGACTGCCAACCACAATCCACCAGCTCCTGCGGCACTTCCCTGACAAGCCCAGTGTGTGAAGCCAGCCCAGCTGGGGAAGGGCAATGGCTGTCTGGGGACACAGGGACACAATGAGCTGTGCTGTGTATGAACAACAGGCTGAACCGTGCAGGCCATCTAGTGTACGGGCAGGTACTCACTGTCGTGACAGGGGTTGAGGGCTTGTTTGCAGGACACCCCCCCACACACCCCAAGGTGCACAAATCAATAAAGTCAGAGCCAAGGGCCACACAGGTTTGAATCCTGACTCCCTCTCACTCTACCTCTCTGACACTTTCCACATTATATGCTGAGGACACGCGTAACTCACCTCATTCGTGTGAGATGCTCAGCATGGTCTCTGGCTCTTTAGTAAAGGTGATCCCTGGTTTTGGCCTCAACCCCTGGTTTGTTATCAGTGAATTGCTGCCTGTGACATGTGTGTCAGACCCCTGAGATGTGTTCTGCTGAGCACAAATACCTGAAATGGCTCCTTTGTTGGCTTCAAAATTGTCTCCTCTGTGATATATGCAGGGGTGCTCCAGGCCCTGATGTGAGCAGAAGTCTTCTCATCAGTTCAGGCAGAAAGGCAGAAAGGGGAGGGTTCCTTGCTTTTCCCCCAAAGGTCCCCCAACATAATGTCCCTATGGAAAGGGGTTGTAGAGGGAGTTTATCCAGAAGCAAAGGAGTCATCTTCTGTGGTCCTTACTCTCCAGAAATACACTGAAAAAAATATTGAGTGCTCAGACAAAAGACACTTTCATTTGTATAGGATTTTATGTTTCTATGATGTAAACCAGGGTACAATGTACCCCGGGAAATGCTGAGCCTTAGATGCTGATAAAAACCTCTTTTGCTAATTGTTGCTGCCAGGTACCTCCATATACAAAAAAGCTTCAGGTCAAGGTTCATCATTTCTGGAGGGTTTGTATTTCTGTATTCTGCATTTTCTTGGAAATATGTGGCGTTTACTGGTCTTAGCGCGTCACTGGTTTTACCAGCACATTTTCCTGAAACTTTAGTGCAGGTGCCAGCATTGCCACCACCACCACCCCAGGCATTCCCTTGGCTGCACAGATGCCCTCCTCAGTCTGAGGGTGGCTGGAAGGAACCTCACGCCCTTGTCCATTCTGTGAGGATCCTTTGGTCATGTAAGTGCACAGGTGGGTACCCAGAGTCATCGCCACACACAAGAACTAAACAGAGGAGCCCCACTGCCCTCTCTTCCCAGGAAACCCTGCAGAGCTCCCAGAACTGCTCTGCTGACATCCAGAGGAGATCACTGTCATTCTACCCATGAATACAGAGGGATCCAGGGCACCTCCTCTGTTCAACACCCAGATACAAGCCCGAAGCTCTCTGCCTCCACCCAAATCAGCTTTACTGCCAGCACATGGGGGTTGGATGTAACTGGAGCAATGACCTAGACCTTAATGTTGATTGGACCAGTGGACATGCAGAACACTTGATACACCAAAATTTAGGCTGTGCTGTTTCGGGAGTGGGTAGAAGGGTTGCTCAAATAAAGACATAAATGTATTTAAAATAAAATGAAAATTTAAACTGTCTTTTTAACCTTGATTTCTTAAAACAAAGAGAATTTTAATGCAAAGTATAAGGGCATAACTTTAAAATTTAGGACAGGCCTTTTAAACAGACAAATTTGGTTTTATGAGAAACTTATTGCACATCTTGCTTTTACTCTTGTCCCTATGAATTTGGACCCGTGCTGCTCTTGGACAGGCCTCTGGGATCCACTGGGTAGACAGATTACAGCCTGCACGGCTAGGAGCACATTGTGTGTGCCTCATCTCACATTCAGTGTCTCAGGCTCACAGCTGCCCTAACAGGAGGGGGAAGAGCAAAAATAAGGTAGTGCCACCCAGGGAGCCCAGTCCCCAAACAGACCCTGACATCACAGGTCCAGGGTACCTGGGGCCTCGGGTCACCCCCCACTGCCAAGGAACTATATCCTTCAAAAACCTGCTTCTCTCAGCTTTTCCAATGGCACAGCATTCCTTCCGGAACAATAGCATACCACGCAGAGAATGGTTTCTACTCACTTGAACACAGGCATATATTAAAGGTGTTTTACCATCACATTGTCTCTTCGCAGGGGACAGTACAGACCTCACAGGTTGAGACACTGTTCCTGGACCTGCAGTGACCCAAATTGAGAACTATGGCATTGTCAATCATGGACCCAACCAGAGACCGTGAAAATCCACTCAGAAAAGATAAGAGACTTACATGTAAAACCTGAAGTCATAAAATGCATGGAAGAATGCTTAGGCAAAACACTCCATGACATATCTCAGAAAGATATTGCTGTACCAGCATCTGCAGTAAATCAAGGAAATGTTACCTCCATGGAAAAACAGGTGGGAGGGGAAAAAGGCATTACTGATAGAGGAACAGTGATTTCAATAGAAACATGTATCCCATTAAAAATCATAGCTGTGAGAAGATGGTGGAATATATTTTATGCTGGAAAAATTGATGTTCATATTTCCACACAGAAATCCATATCAGATAACATATCCTGTAGGAATGAGGCAATAGAGATATAATCTCATACGAAAGAAAACTAAGAATCTGTCACATTAGACAATTAAAATCATGACTATAACATTGTCTTATGGGTTTTTTTTTTTAAGATTTTTTTTTTAAAGATTTATTTGTTTATTTGTACAAGCACTGGGTACAGTCAGAAGCGCAGGAGGGTGAGAGAATTCACCAGAGCCAGAGCGGGGAACAGAATAGGCAGACTGACGAAATACACTGCTAAGGGGAGCAGTGGATGCAGCAGGAGAGGTCTGTCGCGCCATGTGGGACTCTTGCCGGCGCCCGGGGATTGAACAGGCGCTTCAGTGGCTGTGGGCAGCTTCGCAGCCCAGTGCTCAATTGCTGTGCCACCAGGGGAGGCCCTAAAGATTTATTTATTTATTTATGTATACAAGGACTGGGGTACAGGCCAGAGGTGTGGGGGGTGAGAGGATTCACCAGAGACAGTGTGGGGAACAGAACAGCTGCCTGACTGAAATACACTGCTGAGGGGAGAAGCGGGCAAGCCAAGAGAGGTCTGCCACGTGATGTGGGTAGCTCCCTGGCCAGCCAGGGGATTGAACTTGTGCCACAGAGGCTGCAGACAGCTTCACAGCGCTGTGCTCAACCCCTTGTGCCACCAGGAAGACCCTGTCTTACAGGTTTTGAAAGAATGGAAAAGTAATATCAAGCACAGTGTCACTCAGAAGAATTAAATGGTCCTACGTGGTGGTAGCCAAAACTTCAATTTGAAGTGATAAATTACTAAAACACTTTGTTTTCTTCTGAAATCTGAACTCTGCACCTATTGCAGGGATTTGTTTTCAACAGTAGCCATTTGAGATTGGTTGTTCTCACATAGTAATATGCATTTAGGATCTGTCATGGTTTTCATGGCTGGTTGGTGCATATCTTTTTGTGCTGAATAATGAACCACTGTCTGGATGTAGCACAGTTGGTTTCTCTGCCACCAACTTGTTGCTTCCAAGATTGGGCAGTTATGAAGGAAGCTGCTAAAATCATCCACATGCAGACTTTGTGTGGGGATATTGCTTCAATTCATTAAGTAAATATCAAGGAGCACAACTGCTGGGCTATATGGTTAGAGTCTGTTTACTCCATATACAAACATAAACCTGTATACTCCACACTTCAATACTTGAGTTTAGTCTATACACACACACACGTATATATCCATGCTTAGTCTCTACAACGACACACCACTACGAGAAGACAAGGACATGGCAGGGGTCTGAGGGAGAAGCCCAGAGAACACTGGAGAGAGGCCAGAAAGAAAGCTCAGGAGTGCTCAGGCTATATACATACAGAATTCTGTGTACAGACGTGGATGCTGTTATTATTTTGAACAAACTTATCTGCTAGGTCAGTTCAAGGAGCTTCTATTTCCACCTTCAACTACTCATCCTCTGTAAATTCTCCTCCTTTCTTGGTGGAGACATGGGTTTCTGACTGTGTCATTATCCTTCTCCTTGAAGAGTTTCTTTGAACATTTTGTGGGAGGCAGATAGATGCACAACAACTTTCCTCCATTTTTGTTTGTCTGAGAAAACCTTTTATTTCTCCTTTACCTTGAGAAGAATTGTTCAGAGTATTTTCCTCTTACCACTTGAAATATTTCATGCCATTCTCTTCTTCCTTTCATAGTTTTTAGGGACATCAGATAAAATTCTTGTCTTTGTTCTTCTGTAAGGAAGTAAGTTGCTTTTTCTTCTGATTTCTTTCAAAAGTTCATCTCTGATTTTCTAAAGATTGAAAGTATATCTGCCAGTTGTGTAAGCATAGGATTTTTGTTTCTTTGGTTTCATTTTTGTTTTGTTTTTTATCCTGGGCGATGTTCTCTGAGTTGATTGGGTCTGTGGCTTGGTGTCTGACAATAATTTGGAGGAAGTTTTCAGTCATTATAGCTTCAATCATTTTTTTTTTTGTTCTTTCTTTATTCTCCATCGGAGAATGCCATCGTGAATGATACATGCTGGTGTTTGCCCCCAGTCATTGCAAGCCAATCTACTTTTCTGTTTTCCAATTCTCTCTTTCTCTTTGTGTTTCAGTTTTAAAATTTCCCATTGTCATGTTTTCAAGCTCAGGGATCCGAGTTGTTTTAAATTCCAGGGTTTCATAATTGTAGCATTTCTGAGACATCTGAGGCTGGTTCTGATGCTTACACTGTCTCATCAAGCTGCGTTATATTGCCTTCTAGGGAGTCTTTTTACTTGGTAGGTAGTTTTTCTCGGTAGTCAGACAGGACACACAGGGTAAAGGGCCCAGGAAAGAAGCCCTTGGTAATGTCGTGGTGAGGTGTGGGAGAGGGGAGGCATCCTGTATTCCTGTGAGCCTGAGCCTGTGCACTGTGGACTTTACCAGAGCTGCTCAGCCCCCACCCTCAGGTGGGGCAGGATGGCTACAGGGGCTGGAGATGTATACTTCACTTCCCCAGCTGGGTTAGGTTTTGTTTTTTTTTTTAAAGATTTATTTATTTTATACAAGAACTGAGGTATAGGTCAGAAGCATAGGAGGGTGAGAGAATTCACCAGAGCCAGAGCAGGGAACAGAACAGGCAGGCGGACCCAAGACACAGCTAAGGGGAGCAGCAGGCTAGGCAAGAGAGGTCTGCTGCGCCACGTGGGGGTCTCCCTGGCCAGTGGGAATTGAACCAGCGCTGCAAAGGCTGCGGATGGCTTCTCAGTGCGGCGCTCAACTGCTGCGCCACTGGGGAGTCCCCTGGGTTAGGTTTTGATTGACCTCCAGTGGGTGAAGTTCTGGTTAACTAGTTTCCCTGAGTGTAGGACTTGGTAAGAGGAACAGAGTACCCTGGTATTTCAAAGTCAGTTCTTTCCCCCTCCTCTTGCCAGAAGCACAAGCAACCATTCTCCACTCTTTAATGTGAAGTCCTGGTGGAGTCCTTTGAGATGAAATTCACAAAACATGGAGCACCCAGTGACTGGGTTACTCTAGAGTTTTTGACCTACACACTCATCCATGCTGCATGTCCTGTAATTCATCAATGACAGGTTTTGCAAACCCAGCACTGGTTCCTTCGGAGGATTTTGCTTGTGAGTTACTGTTCTAGTAGCTGTCATTTTCTCCAGCAGCCTTTTTTTCACTAGTTATGGGGTAGTGGTTTATCCTGTGACCTCACTTACCTGGTGGACCCAAGGTGAGTGCTGATTCCTCAGTTTGTTCAGGTTCTCATTATGGTGGAACAGTGTCTTCTAAGCTCCTTACATGCTAGGCCAGAAATGAGAAATCTGGTTATGTGTCTATTGTCTAAATAATATCTGAATGCATTCGTTTTGTAAAAGTCTCAAGGAATATTTAAACAGAGGAAGATAAAATACAAAAATCTTCTTTTACCCACATCCCTGTTTTCACTTCCCTTCCCTTTTGTATTTTGTCTTTCCCTGTTTAAAGAGGTGCTGTGGTAGGTGCTATTAAGGAACAGAGAGAAGACTGATCCAGATGGAGGGAACAGGAAATAATGTGAAGGCCTTTCAGGGAACTGAGAGAGGACAAGTGTGCATGTAGCAGAGGTGTGGGGCAAGGTGGGAGGAAGATATGCTGGGACATCCTTTAAAAGTATAAAAATGTCTTCTTTAGTGTCTGTATATAAATATAAAAGGCTTCTCAACCTCATGAATAATCAGCAACCTGAAAACAATAACTCAGTGAGCTATCACATTACTGCCATTAAATCAGCAAAAAAGTTTTAAAATTTGAATAAGCTCCACAACAAGCTAAAGTGTGGGTGTACTTTCAAACCTTCCCAAGTCCTGGCACCATACTGGAGAGCATTATGGCAGCGACTGGAACATTAACATAAATCGTCCCTCACTAAAATTCCACTCTGAGAAGACTTGTGGGAGTGCTCCAATGTGCAGAGAGAGACATACACACAGGATGCTTATAGCAGCTCAGTGGAGAAAAGTGTGTTCACCAATAGGAACATATTTAAATGAAATGGAACAAGAATTATATATAACAAATTATTGCAAGAAATATCATTACAGTTATCAAAATTATAAGATTAAGAGTACCAAAAAAAAAAAACCAACCTAAAACAGAAAAAAGCACGTTGTATAATAACATTAGCCAAGATACACTGCAGACATCAGACCCAGCTATGCACGCACACTAGGCTTGCATGTGCCCAGGAAGGCACTAAGGTTCCCCATGCAAATGGTGACATGAAAATACCTGCAAAGCCTTAGACAGTCTGCGTGACATGTAAGTGCTATCTACGAGTAGACTATTTTTATTTACATATCTGTATATTTTCTTCTGATAATGCACCCCTGCTGACTTATGCAACCTAGAAGTAAAGAATTCGGTTGCTACTGCAATGTATACTCCCTGCACCCAACTGCCCACCCAGAACAAGGCCAACTATTCATCCCTCTGTCAGAGGGCCCAGAGCAGCCTCACACCAAAAGGGCGCGCAGGACCATCTATCAAAGGACCCTCTCACCCTTCTCAGTCCCAGAGGTAAGTTCCTGCAGCCCCCACACCCCAAGCTCAGGTCCCTGCCTTCTCTCTCAACCTGCAGATGCTCAGGTTAGAGACCTCAGGGGCTGCACAGCGGAGGCTGCCCCGCCTGCTGCAGGCTCCATGACATCACGCGCCGCTCGGAAAGGACGTGCCCCCAGTCCCCCCTCCCCACCCATCTTTAGGGAGGGGCCCTAGGCGCTGACCCGGGGAAGGCGGTGGAGCGGCCGGTTCTGGTGGGGATGGTACCTGGGAGCTGGTCTGAGCTGAAACCCCGGGCGCTGGGGAGGTGGGATGGGCTGCGTGGGTTTGGGCTGAGGCTGGGGCGGGGCTGGCTTCTGCCCACCCTTGGCGACCTTCTCTGGGGGCTCCGGGCCCCCCCCTTTCAACGGTCCCGGTGGCCCAGTGTAGGGGGCGGGGCGGGAGCCAGACCCTGGGGCGGCAGTTTGAGCTCTGGGGAGCTGAGCCCCCGGGTGCTGTCTGGGCGCGGGGAGGGACCAGGGAGGACGCAGGGGAAGGAGCCTGGTCCTCGGACTCCAGAGTTGGAGCTGAAGGTCAAACGGTGGTGGGAATAGACGGGACAGGTCAGTCCAGGGACTTTCTAGGGACTCTGGTCCATGGGTCTGTGCGGGAGGTAATAGGGGAAAGAGTTACACTGCGTTGGAGATTGTCTGTTCTTCTCAGGCGGCTATGACTGTTCTCAGGCGGTGAAATCGTCATTCCTTTGTCTACCACCCTTTTCTCACTTGTAGAGGAGTTTTTTTGGAAAAACTGGCCACTCCAGGTAGGTAAGATGATATGCAACCAAGTGTCAGTCTTGGAGAATGTTCATCATTTGACTATTGACTGGTCTTCCCTGTAGTAATAGAAGTTTCTGCGTTTTCTCTGTTCAGTACTGTAACCAGAAATCACATGTGAGTATTAGGCAGTTGAAAAGTGATTAGTGCAGCTTTTCCTTTCATTTAATTTAGGGATTTATTAACCAGACTGGTGGTCTGGTCTGGACAGCTCAGACTAATGACACGGATAGTGTAGTGAACAAACAGCAAACTCCCTGTGAAGTGATTTTCTGTTTTCTTCCAGTAGCTTTTAGAAATTAATATTGTTGATTACTGGCTGGGGTGAGAATGGTGTCGACCATTGCTAGATGTGTTAGGTCTTTTTGAAAACTGGTGGAAGAAACAAATATGTGTTACTGTTCAATATCAGGTTAATTGTAGTGACTAAGATAAGAACTACTAAAATTGAATTATTTAATAATTTTCTATTGCATATTGTTTCCTTTTTGAAAAGTCTGTTTGACAGTGTAACTTCTTGTACATAAAATGACCATGAGTGAGAGCAGAGAAATGTTCTCATCCATGTAATATTTCCTAAGGTGGGAAAGAGTGACATTTGTGATTTTTGTTAATTGACTAGAAAACATCTTAATTTTTTAGGGTTTTTTTGTGCAATAAGATGTGTGCCTACTGGAATCTATTGAGAACAATCAACAGTGAATTCAGACTAGAGTTCTTAGTTTTAAATGAACTATATTTAAGAGAGGTAAGCAAATTTTCAATCATTTTAAAGAGTTTGTTTTTGCTCCTGAGTCATCTTACGTTTAAGATTTGCAAAATCTTGTTGAGTACCCCAGAAAGAAAATAAATGTGTGTTGGTGATTAATACATATGTAGTTTTCAAGTTATTAGTGCATTGGCTTGAAAGTTTACATACAGATTTGTCATTTTTTCTTGTTACCCCATTCTGAATTTGTATGTATATGTATTAGTGAAGAGATATTGCTTTTTTCCAATGATACTGGATTTTTTTTGTATTTCATGTATTTAATAATTTGAGATGTGGGCCTCCCCCGTGGCGCAGCGGTTGAGCGCTGGGTTGCGAAGCTGCCCGCAGCCTCTGCGGCGCCGGTTCGATCCCTGGCTGCTCCCCAGCCACCGGAGGAGGGTCCCACATGGCGCGCAGACCTCTCCTGCCGCCCACTGCTCCCCTCAGCAGTGTACTTCGGTCCTTCTGCCTGCTCTGCTCTCGCCCTCCCGTGCTTCTGACTGTACCCAGTGCATGTATAAACAAACAAACAAAACAAATAAATAAATAAATAAATAAAACATGCCTCTATTAAAAAAAAAAACATTTAAAAAATTAAAAAAAAAATAAAGAGGCATGTATTAAAAAAAATAATTTGAGATGTATAATACAATTTAAGACATAATATATTTTTCAATGGGGTAAAGGAGGTAAGCAATAGAGGGGATCTTGTTCAGCTTACACATTAGAGAAATTGCAGTTCAGTCTTTTGGCATACTGTGCGTAACTAATTAGTATAAAAATGAATGAAATAAGATCAATGAATGAAATATATAGACTGGTGAAGGATCATCACCTTCTGTCTAATGTTTGAAAATAACTTTATTGTGTTTCTAAATACCTCTTGGAAATACTTTGCAATAATAAACTATTCCAAAAGAATTGCCTCTTAACCAGCTGACAAGTTAGTTGATATCTGAAATCTTCCATGAATGCTTAGTGTGTTTAGTTACATAAATATAAAAGCTTTGTCCTAGTAATGTACAGCAGATAAGATCCGACATGGATAATTTCGTTAAGGTATCTTATGCCTATTGACAAGAAAACAATACATACTTTTGTGGAACTACAGTAGAAAGCGACCTACTATTCCATTGAGCACTTTTCTTTGCCATGTTCCAAGAAGGATTAAAGTGGCTTATCAGCCATACAGAAAATGCAGTGAGATGTGCAAAGTCTTTAAGATTGTGAGACCTGGTTTGCAAATAATGTCACTCATTCATGGTCATGGGAAGCAGTATTGCAGGTAATTACTTTATGTGCAGGTTTTCAAAATGTTGATTTCATTTCTTGTTTTCTTTTGAATTCAGCCTGAAGTTCCTGCTTACCATGTAATTTCAGAAGGAATTCTAATACTCTGGATAATCAGATATTTCTCGAAAACTTCCAAGTTACAGGAGGGATCTGCTCTTACAGTCAAGGTAAGGTGGGAGTGCATATTACTGGCTTCTATTTACTTTGCTGGGTTCAACAGCATTCTTACAAAGATATTGGAGAGGCACCATGGACAGCTCCTGGATTCTGAATGTCACATGCAGCATTCCTTGAGTTTCTTGAGAAAGAAGAGCTGTTTTGAAGCCTAATCAAAAGTTTTCTCTGTGGTCATCATAAAAGTAATTCTGAGTTGGAAAGCCTTGCCCTCCCACCCCTAATGGGGTGTTGATGTGTCGCGCAATTTAGGGATCCAACTCAGATCCTGCTAGGTGAACCCTTAGGAAAGAAGAATGTCGAGATGAATTGTGACCTTCATGGAGTTCCTTAGTATGGGACACTAAGGTAAATGATGGAAAAGAAACTCTTTTTCCTCTCACATTAGGAGTACTTAGTCACTACCCAGGGGAGAGAGGGGAAGAGCAGATTTGACTGCAGCGTTGCTTCTGTCCATCAGGTGTTTACAGCCCCCTCCCCCCCGCCCCCATAGCCTTGTGCCAGAATTCTTAGGAGATGGGAACTGTGAGGAACGCTTTCCAAAACAAATTCTTAAACTTTGGCTGCCAAGGGCAGCATTGACTAGGGTGTAAAGATGGAACACTGGGGTTTTCATTATTCCTGGAACCCTCACAGAAGAAAGTGGGAGAGAGAAGCAGAATTCCAGGGAAGGAAATGTTGCCACATTTTGACATTTATTAGAAATGTTGTTTCCGTGATTTTACTGACTCGCCACTATTGTCCTTAGAGTTAATATGAGTTATGAGATGGTTAAGCGCGGTCCCCTAGGGCACCTGGAACAGATGGTCTTTTAAAAAAAATATTTATTATTTATACAAGCACTGGGTACAGTCAGAAGCATGGGAGGGTGAGAAAATTCACCAGAGCCAGAGCGGGGAACAGAACAGGCAGAGACTGATGAAATACACTGCTGAGGGGAGCAGCAAGTGCGGCAGGAGGGTCTTTCGCACCTGTGGGACCCTACCAGTGACCGGGGATCGAACCTGCGCTGCAGAGACTATGGGCAGCCCAGCGCTCAACCTCTGTGCCACCAGGGGAGGTGCAACAGATGGTTCTTAATGCAGTTAAGTTTTGGAAATCTGGGTGCAGATGAGTAAAGTGTCATTATATTGCAAGTTTTTCTTCATTTTTGATTTTTTAAAGGTTTTTTTTATTTATACAAGAACCAGGGTACAGGCCAGATGCACAGGAGGGTGAGAGGATTCACCAGAGAAAGAGCAGGTAACAGAACAGGCAGCTTACTGAAAAATACACAGCTAAGGGAGCCAGCAAGCGAGGTAAGAGAGGTCTGCTGCGTCATGCTCCCTGTCTGGAATTGAATGAGACCATAGCAGAGAAAGGGTGATGCACTGAGATTTAACCCATAGGCACAGGGAGGCTAAGAAATTTCCTTACAAAGTCCCTTTATGGTGTACTATTAGAAATAATCTTTTAAGTATTTCAGCTATTTCTGAATTCTGGCTGATCAGTGTCTTATAGAAACAGAGCTTATTGCTTAACTGGACCCCTTCCCATAAGGGTCACATCTATGTGCAGTGACATGACTGGGATAGAGATTGAGCCAATTT